AATTGTGCTGTTATTCTCACTTAAGATGAAGGCTTACAGAACAAAATAGTTTCTCATTTAACAGTTACTACAAATGTTGCCTTGTGACAATGGTTAACAATCTCACAACACATCAACACTATCCTTACTCAACCTTGGGTTCCCTATCACCAGCTTCCTTGTCCCCTTCTGCCTTCTGGCCCTTGTCACCGGACTTCTGTACCTCGTTAGTCTCATTTGGTTTTACGGAGCTGTCCACTCCCCAGGCTGAATGGTGAACCTCAGAGATGACTTCACCACTGAGCTAAAAGGGTGTCTGGGGGCCATACTCTCAGGGTTTCTCCAGTCTTCTTTAGGCCAGTAAATCTGGTCTTTTTTTGGGGAGTTAGAATTATGTTCTACATCCTTCTCCAACTCTGTCCAGAACCCTCTGTTGTGATCCTGGTCAGCCAGCTCTATCTTTATTGTGATCCCTGTCAGAGCAGTCGGTGGTGGTGGCTGGGCACCATCTAGTTGTGCTAGACTCAGTCTGATGGTGGCTGTGATAATTGTAGTTAGTGGAAAGATTTTTAAATCTTACAGATTCAAATCTAAATACTTATTGATTAATATAAAAATAATTGTTGTTAGTTGCCGTCAAGTTGGCTCAGACTCGTGGCGACCTTGTGTGTAACAGAATGAAACATTGCCTGGTCTTATGCCATCATCACGGTCATTGGTATGCTTTAGTCCGTTATTTTGGCTGTTGTGTCAATCCATCTTATTGCGGATTTCCTTCATTTTCACTGACCATCTACTTTACCAGCTATGAAGTCTGTGAAGTCCTTTTCTAACCATTGGTCTTGCCTGATGACTTGTCCAAAGTGAACACGACAAAGTCTAACCGTCCTCGCTTCTAAGGAGCCATTCCAGTTGTATTTCTTCTAAGTCTGATTTGTTCATTCTTCTGGCCGTCCACAGTATATTCAGTATTCTTCGCCAGCACCGCAGTTTGACCTTTTGACTTCTGTCATTTCTTCTTCAGTGTTCCTTTATCATTGTCTAGTTTTTGCATGCATATGAGTCGATTAAAAGACCGTGAGTTGGTCAGGCCATGCATTGTTGTCATCAAAGTGACATGTTTGCTTTTTACAACTTTAAAGAAGGCTTTTGCAGCAGACTTCCCCAATGCAATATGACATTTGATTTCATGACCACTGTTTTCATGGATGTTATCTAAGTAGAATGAAATCTTTGACAACTTTAATTTCTTCATTTATCGTGACATTGTTTATGGGTCCAGTTGGAGGATTTTCATTTTCTTCACAGTCAGGGGTAATCCATACTAAAGGCTGTAGTCTTTGACCTTAATAAGTATTTCAAGTTGTCTTTATTTTCAGCAAGCAGAGTTGTGTCATCTGCGTATCACAGGCTGTAGATGAGTCTTCCTCCAGTCTTGATGCTGTGTTCTTCTTCATATAGTTAAGCTTCTTGGGTTATTCGGTCAGCAAACAGATTGAGTAAATAAGGTGAAAGGATCTTAACTCTGCTGCACACCTTTTCCAATTCTGAACTATGCAGTATCCCCTTGTTCTATTTGAACAACTGCCTCTTGATCCATATACAGCTTCCCCATGAGCACAATGAAGTGTTCTGGAATTCTTTGTAATGTTATCATCCATATAGTCAAATGCCTTTGTGTAGTTGGTAAAACACAGGTAAACATCCTTCTGATAGTCCCTGTTTTCAGCCAAAATCCATCTGACATCAGTGATGATCTCCCTCATTCTACATCCTCTACTGAATCTGGCTTGAACTTATGGCAGTTCCCTGTTGATGTATGGTTGCAATTGTTTTTGAAATAACTTCAGCAAAATTTTGCTCGCATGTGATAGTAATGATGTTGTTTGAAAAATTTTCGTGTTGTGTGATCATCTTTCTCTGTAATAGGCACGAACATGGATCTCTTCCAGTCAGTTGGTCAGGTAGCTGTCTTCCAAACTTCTTGACATAGACGAGTGAGTGCTTCTGACACTGCATTCTTTTGTTGAAGCATCTCAGTTGGTATTCCATCAATTCCTGGGGCCTTGTTTTTCACCAGTGTCTTCAGTGCGGCTTGAACACCTTCGTTCAGTACCAGCAGTTCTTGATCATATGCTACCCCCTGAAATGACTGAACGTCAACCATTTCTTTTTGGTACAATGACTGTATTCCTTCCATCTTCTTTTTATACTGACAGTGTCAGTCAATTTTTTGCCATATAGTCCTTCAGTAATGCAACTTGAGGCTTGAATTTTCTTTTCAGTTCTTTCGTCTTGAGAAATGCCGATTGTGTTCTTCCCTTTCGGTTTTTGTAACTCCAGGTCTTTGCGCATTTCATCATAATACTTTACTTTGTCTTCTCAAACTGCCCTTTGATAAATCTTTTGTTCAGCTTTTACTTCATCATTTCTTCTATTCACTTTAGCAACTGTCTGGTCTTTTTACTAGAATTTGAGCTCTGCACCCACTTTTCTCCTGCTCCATCAGGGACTCTGTTGTGTTCCCTGTCAGGGTGGTCATTGTGGTAGCTGGGCACCATCTAGTTCTTCTGGTCTTAGGCTGATGAAGTCTCTGGTTTATGTGGCCCTTTCTGTCTCTTGGGCTAATACTTTCCTTGTGTCTATGATGTTCTTCATTCTCCTTTACTCCAGGTGGGTTGGGACCAATTGATGCATCTTAGATGGCCACTCACTAGCTTTTAAGGCTGCTCACCAAAGTGAGATGCAAAACATTTTCTTAAAAAAACTTTGTTATGTGAATTGACCTAGATGTGCCCTGAAACCATGGTGCCCAGACCCTAGCCCCTGCTACTCTGTCCCTCGAAGTGTTTGGTTGTATTCAGGAAACTTCTTAGCTTTGGTTTAGTCCAGTTGTGCTGACTTCCTTTGCAGTGTGTGCTGTTCTTCCCTTCACCGAAGATAATTCTTGTCTACTTTCTAGTTAGTGACTACCCCTTTCTTTCCTACCCCTCGTAACCATCAAAGAATGTTTTCTTCTGTGTGAAACAATAAATCATTTTGAATTCTCTGTGTAGATTTTTTTGAGTTTTTTATATAAACAATTCTCTTTCAATAATTACAGTTTTGTTTCTTTTCTTACTAAACTGACAAAGATGGAATAAGGAAAGGGTTATGCTCCTTGAATTCCGTGAGCTACTCCTTAACATCTTAAGAAATTTTCTATAAGGTAAATATTATTACTTTTTTTTAGCAGATGAGGAAAAGACAGACTAAGGGAGGTGAGAGAACTTGTTGAAAGACATTGAAGAGAATCAATATTCAAACACATCCCTTCTGATTTTTAAGGACTGTGATATTTGGGGGGCCTGGTGGCATAGTGGAAACCCTGGTGGCGTAGTCGTTAAGAGCTACGGCTGCTAACAAAAATGTCTGCAGTTCGAATCCACCAGGCGCTCCTTGGAAACTCTATGGGGCAGTTCTGTTTTGTCCTATAGGGTCGCTATGGGTTGGAATTGACTCGTTGGCAAGGGGTTTGGTTTTTTGGTTTTGGTGGCATAGTGGTTAAAGAGCACGGCTGCTAACCAAAAAGGTCAGGAGTTGGAATCCATTCGAAACCCTATGGGGCAATTCTGCTTTGTCCTGTAGGGTCGCTATGAGTTAGAACTGACTCGACAGCAGTGGGTTTGGGTTTTTTTTTTTTTTTTTTGTAATATTTGCATTATACCATACTGCTTCCAGATTTAAAGAGCACAAAAATTAAACAATTTAGAGTTATTTTTCTTTAGAAATTGCTACAAAATGAATAAGAATTTATGGTAACTTTTAAAAATATAACTGCCCTTTTTCCTGCTTTCCTTAACGTGCATCAGTAATATTTGATGATAATATTCCACTTTTAGGTAGAAGAAAGAAAGAAGACAGTAGAAGATCCAGTAAACGCAAGACAAGATACACTTTAAACAATCAGCCAGTAACTTCTGAAAAACATCGATCTAGGAAAAAACAGGTATTTGTTTTTTTATTATATTGAATAATACGGATATTAAAAGTCATAATTTTGTTTCAAATTATTTCTCTTCAGCTCTAAAAATGTGAGTATAAAATGTTTGCTCTTTGCCATCTTTGATTAACTGCCTGATATGCCTATTCATAGTTCCAAGAAAATACTTCACCTGCATTTTTAAAATAGTCTTAAGTCGGGTGTTGATACCAACATCTTTTTAAAATTATTGTGATACTACCATAAAGTCAGTTCATTGACTGTAAGGTAGGAGTTAAATCCATGTTATAAGCTTTTATATTCAAGTCTTTGTAACAGGTATCCAATTTAAATAAGATTCTTCTGTACTTTAAAAAAAAAAAAAAATTAAAAGATAACCTTTTGATATGGAATTTTAAAATTTGGAAATTATTTTTGGTAACATCATAAAACTATTTGCTACCAGATCACTAACTGGGTGGCACAAATAGTTAAGCACTTGACGGCTAGCCAGAAGGTTGGTGGTTTGAATCCACTCAGAGGTACCTTGGAAGATAGGCCTGGAGATCTGATTCCAAAAGGTCACAGCCATGCACACCTTACGTGCAGCTCTATTCTGCACGCACACGGTCACCATCAGTTGGAATCTACTCAACAGTAACAAACAACAACCTGTGTAGCATTTTATTTATATTTTCCCTTTAACAGATACAAGTATTCAGTCTTTGTGAAGTACAATAACTTGGTGTAAGTGCTTTTTGTTTCTGTAACTGCAGTAACATAAAGTAGAATATTAAAACACTAGGGAATGATTGAAAAATGCATAAGGTTATAATACCTTATTGTATCGTTGGTAATTATTTAGTTATTGACTGTTTTAGAGGATGTCTTTTAGTTTATGCTATTGTTATCCAGTGAAAATTGAGCAAAGCTGCACTGTAAGAATGAGAGTTACCATGTTTGTCAAGTGAGAAGGGGATACTTCCACATTATTCAGAACTTAGAAATAATTCTGCTTTCTTTAGGACAGTATTACAGTTATTTAGAAATAATTCTTTTACTTAGTATTTTGAATAAAAGGAAAGTAAAACAAATATAAAACTTGAAATTATAGGCAGTAGCCAACATAATTGTAAGTCATCTTCTAAAAATTCATTCTAATAGTATTTAGGAAGTATGTAAAGGCTTTCCTTTAGAAAGAATGTTGTGAATGTTGATGAGGATCACGAAAGCATATTTAATTCATTGTGCATTTGAAAGATAGTGTAAAAATGGTGTGGGGGCGGTGTCTTACCTCCTCCAACCCCACAAGGGGGAAGGAGAACCAAGATCAACAGCACAAGGTTGACTCCCATGAGGTAGAGGCCAGACAAGCCTCCTCTCTCCACCATCTCTACCAGTTCTGACACCAGCCATCCCTCCCATGGCATTCTCCACTTTTCTGCTAGATTCGGTATTCATTGCAGTGGCCACACAGAAGTCACAAATGATACTCGTGATAATGGGGTTTATTAGGGAATTAACAGGTTCAATTTCAGGTTCAGGAACACTCAAGGATACAGTTCTTCCATCAGGACAGCCTCTTCCCACCTGTGGTGGGAAGGCACGTCTCTCCCTGGCCCTCAGTCTCTGCCTAGAGGCACTCAGCTTTCTTGCTTCATGGGCCTGTAAGCCCACTTTGCCGTCTCCTTGCTGCCGGGGTCTCTGCTGCTGGTCTCTGCTTCCTTAGTGGTGGTGGGCTCATCTCTTTCTGCTCTAGAATTGACTCTCTTAAAGCAAAACTGACCAGTCCCTTTGGGTGAGCCACAGTTACTCTATCTGCACAGCTCGGCCCAATCACCTGGGTAGGAGTTACAAGACTATGGCTAGGAAGGCCACACAAAAGCAATCCATCACACTGCAGATAGTATATTGAAAACATTGCTTATCTAACCCAGGCATCGCTGCCAATTTATTGTGTGACCTTGGTTTAGTTCTTAGATCTGTATTGTACTTATTTCTGAAAATTTTTCTTGCCATGATTTCTAATATTCTGATCGCCAATTGTAGTTTATCTTAGTCTGAGTTCTCTAGAGAAGCAAAACTAGTGAAGCGTATATAAATACATACGGACAGATTTACTTCAAGGAAATGGCTTACGTAATAATGGCGGCTGGCAAGTCCCAAATCCATGGGTTAGGCTGCAGGCTGAATATCTCTGCTGGCTCACATAGTTGCAGGAGCTGACGAACCCAAATTCTGCAGGTCAGGCAATAGGCTGCAGGCGTCTGCTGGCTCATGGGGTTGTAGGTTGCTGACAAATCCAAAATCTGTAGTTCAGGCGGCAGGCTGAAAACTTCTACAGGCTTACGTCCCAAGAACCGGAGGTCAGGGGACAAGAAGAGTGGAGGGTGAAGAGAGACAACAAGTTTTGCCAGAACATCCATTTATATAGTGGAGGTAGGCCACACCCTGAGGAAGCTCCCTTTTCTTTTTTCTTTTTTTTGCAGTACACATGTTGTTTTATAACATTGGTTAACACCCCACAACATATCAACCCTCTAACTTCTCAACCTCTTTTTTTTTGGTGAAAATACACATAGCCAAAGATACACCATTTCAAAAATTTCTGTATGCACAGTTCAGTGACATTGACTACGCTCTTCGAATTGTGCTGTTACTCTCACTTAAGATGAAGGTTTACAGAACAAAATAGTTTCTCATTTAACAGTTACTACAAATGTTGCCCTATGACAATGGTTAACAATCTCACAACACATCAACACT